GTCTGTTTGGAGCTCATTCTGCAGGAGCTGTGGACAGTTGTCCGGTTTGGCCCTTCTGTGCCGAGCTGCCCAGTCTCCCGGCGCCAGTTACTGAAGAGGCTGTCTTCTCCACATCGCATTCCTTTTTTTCTTTTTCTGGGGGGTAGTTATTTTGGCTTACTTCTTTATTTATTGTTAGAGGAGGTTCTGGGGATCGCACCCAGGACCACGCCCGCCCCCCCATCGTGTAATCTTGCCCCCTGCCGCGGATTCACTGACCGTGTCACGTGTGGGCGCGCTGACCCGTGTGCCTTCCTGTGCCGGTCCCAGGCTCTCATGCCTGGGGCTAGTAGTCCAGCTTCAAATCAGGGACAGTGACACCTCCTGCTGTGTCCTTTCTCAGGACTGTTTTGGCTATTTGGGGTCTTCTGTGTTTCCCCACAAACTTTAGAATTACGTGTTCTAGTTCCGTGAAAAACACCACTGTATTCTGACAGGGACTGCACTGAATACACAGACCTCCTCGGGTGGTGTGTTCCTTGCCTCGCCCCACAAGGTGATGGTACTTGGAGGTGGCGCCCTCATGAGGGGGCTGGTGCCCCTCACCCCTCCCACCAGGGAGGGCACAGCGGGAAGGCAGCTGTCCACAAACCAGGGAGCGGGCCCTCCTCACCAGGCCCAGACCTGCCGGTGCCTTGACCTTGGGCTCCAGCCTCCAGAACTGTGAGAAACGAGTTTCTGTCATTTAGAAGCCACTCAGCCCACGGCGTTCTGTCGTAGCATCCTGAAGGAATTAAAATGCCAGCTTTCACATCTTCTTCTGCAACCTCGAAGGTCCGACAGAAATACGGTCAAAGTCAAGGAAAACGCTTCTTTAGTGTCTCACTTGGTGATTGTGAAGGCGTTCCCACCAGGTCAGGGAAGAAAATTATAAACTATGTAAGAAGTCTGTCTTGATTAAAATGAAGGTACGATATTGCCCTTTAACAATCTACACAAAGAATAATTAAAAGAAATAAAAACGTGCAGTAGCTTTCTGAGGATGCTGGTAGACAAGCCAGCAGCTGGAGCTGAGAGCCCAGAGCGGGCTCCTCCACGGGCCTCTGCCTCCCAGTGTCGTCACCCAGCTTCTCCACCTGCTCCAGGCTGGCCAGAGCTCTGTGAGCAGCTGCCTTAAGACAGACAGACAGACACACACACACACACACACACACACACGTGCACACACACGCACATGCAACACCTACAAACACATGCGCACATGACCAGGCGCACGCTCCGGCGCTGAGCCATCTCGCAGGCCTGGAGCCTTGCCGCCCCATGGGCAGGCTCTCACTGTAACTGTGCAGACTGGTCACCCTCCCCTGACCTCACCTTCTGAGCACGTGAGCTGCACGGTCACTCAGGAGCCCCCAGACACGCTTCCTTCCATCCCCCCAGGAACTGTGGGCTGAAGCACTTGCCCTTGGTGTCCGCGGCACCCCCGCCCCGGCTCTCTTCCCTCCTCTGGCTGCTCACTGCTCATGGCGTCCGTGGGTGCCCCTCCCCTTCAGATCCTCCAAGGGTTAGCCCCAAAAGGGTGGGTGTGGGGCTCTGCCCTCTGCCCGCCCCCCCAGGTAATCTCACCTGCTGCCCTGGAGGGACCCTCCCCAGTGCAGGCCGTACCCCAGCTCCATGCGTCCCATCCACTCTCCAGGCACAAATCCCACCCAGGTGACCGTCTCCCAGGGACAGGCAGGTGGCCCGGGCTTGCCTTGGGGGGGGCCCTCCGCTCGGCTGGTCAGCGGGGTCTAGATGGGACACGCGGAACGCTCCTCGGACACCACGCTCCCCGGGCCCCGCGGAGACCGTGCCTCCCAGGGAGTGAGTGGGAGTCGCGCAGAAGCCTCGTGGCAAAGGACGCAGAGCCCACTCACGCGTGCTCGCGGTGCAGCGCCAGGATCTTCTCCAGGGCGCGCTCCTGCCCCGGCAGGTACTCGTGGGCTCTCAGGTGTGCCCGGTCCAGCTCTTCGTCATAGTCTCCGATCTCCGCTGAGACAGGAGGAAACAGCAATTTTAATCTTTAAACAAAGATACGGGCACGTGTACGTGCAGACACATCGATTAAAAGTAGGAAAAACTATCCTAAGCCTGCAGCAAAACAACGTATCCCTTACACAAACACAACTCGGCTCTATCTCCCCGGATTTCACGCCCTCGAAGGCGGGCTGGGGCGGCGAAGAGGGCTGTTCGCAAGTCTTGCTGGTGAGACCCCTGGGAGGCGGGCGCTGAGGCTGCGTTTTAACCACATTGGGTCTGTAAGTTCTCTCCAGGCACTTGTGAGCAGGATAATGCCCTTTATTTTGTTTCAGGAGAATGTATTTTAAACAGTTTTTTCCTTCAGGGTCTCTCAAATCCTTGAGGAACAATGTCTCTTTCTGATTTCATGCACTTCAAGGCTACAGGTTTTAAAAACAGTAGTTGAAGCCCAGTGATCTTATGCGATACACTTCTGTTTTGAGGCCACATCAAACTCACAGGGAACTTGCATGCACGGCGCCACAATTTAGCAGTGTTTTCCACAAAACAGGACCCCCGCCCCCTCTGGCCACCTCGCAAACAAGGACAGGCCCACCCCACCGTCTGCGCAGCTCAGAGCCTCAGGCCCCTTCTCGCCCGCCAGCCGCCGCCGGCTGCGACCCGCACAGCCCGGCCCTGGATCAGAGCCACTCCCTGTGCTGGCTGTCATGTCTCCGCAATGCCCCTTGATCCAAGCACACGCTTCCCAGGTGAAAACTGTGGTGGGATGAGTTACTGTAACATAACTAAGCTGCACACAAGCCCTCGACAAGTGGCCCTGCCAAACGGGCTTGAGCTGAAAAGGCACCTGTCTCCCTGCACAGACCTCAGGCCACACAGATGGTAACTAAGCCACTTCGTGCCGCTGAGCGGAGCCGCCCCACAGAGCAGGACGGCCAGCCTCCGACACAGCCCGCCGGGGGGGGAAGCTGTGTCAGGGCGAGGGCCAAGCTGGCTGCAAGTTAACCCGTATTCTCACAGGTTCCTGAAATCCACCAACACACTTCCCGCATTCAACTTCAGAAACAGCAGCTCCCTGCTGGGAAGCCGGCTCGGCGGGTCCAGAGGCAGCGGCCACGTCCTTCCGTCCCGCCAGGAAGGCTCCAGACAGCCCTGGCCCAGCTCACGCCTGTTTCTCAGCCTCATCCTCAGGGTTTCTCCTCCTCAAGGTTTGAAAGAACTGTCATTCTTGACACACCTCGGAGCTGCCTCTGTGTGACACACTCAAGGGTTTTCCTTGTCCTTCAGGGACGGATACCTAACTCGTCACAGAGGGGCTGGGACATTCACCTCGCTTCTGGAGGACTGAGTCGGGGACAGCCTGGCTCCTAGCCTGGAGGTCTGCAGGCACCAGTGAGCCTTCAGGGTGGGGAAGTCACCCTCGGCTTGTCAGGGAAACACGCACACCCAGCCGCCCGACCTCTGCACTGGTTAATGGACTGGGCAGGACACCCTCCCACCCCCACCTCGGCCCCGGGGGAGGCGCTCACACTGCAGGAGGTGGGACGTGAGCAGGGCGGCCGTGCTGTCCGTGCAGGTCAGACGCTCCTCCAGCAGGTCTCTCTTCAGCTGCAGGGCAAACAAGTATCTAGAAGGAAGTTCAGAACAGGGATCAGCTCCGACGGCTGCACGCACTTCACGCAACACACAGCCCTGGGTGGCCCTGGAGCAGATGGGGAGCAAGGGCAGCGCCAGGAGCCTGGCACCCAGAGCCGGATGTGCACCAGCCCACCCACTAGGCTGTCTGTGGACACACCTCCGGAGGAAGCTCACAGACTTGTGCAGCCTCCGTCACACACACACACACAGCTGCCCCCCGACTGGGTCTGGAGCAGCAGAGACACAGCCTAAAACGTGGCTGTGGAATTTCAAGGCATAATGATGATAACAACAGTAGTATCTGGCTAGGAGCTAAGAAACAGCGCTCCTGCTGGGAGAACCTCTGTGGGAGTGAGACAGACAGGGTGCCTTGAAAACTTTCACATGTTCATTTACTCCGTCAACAAACGCTAACTGAGCACACGTCATGCTCGGTGCTGTTCTCGGGCTGGAGACTCGCCGGTGAAGGGGTCCCCCTGCCCCGTGGGGCTCGCACTCTCGGGCGAGCTGTCAGCGTCTCCTGCACGCCCTTAAAGCTGAAATGTGCGCATCCTCTGACCCAGGCAAGCCCACTTGATGGACGTTCCCTACAGAAGTACTTCGAGTCATACAGACTCGTGGACACGGATCTGTGTTTGTAGCACTAGAACAGATAAAAACGGGAAATAATCTACATATGCGTGACTGAGACTGGTTAAATCAATCCGGTCGCAGCCACACACACTAACAGAGACCGCACGGCAACGCTCCGGGCGCGTATAGTCTGACACTGGCTTGTGAAATGAGAGCTTTTTAAAGCCCGATGTCTACTCGCGTGCTGCTGAGAACGCATCTGGAAGACCCCCCCAAGTGCTGCCACCTCGGTGGGGGGCATGGGCGAGGGTGGACGCTGACTCTCTACTCCACGTGGCTTTAAAGTTTCTCTTCTTTTACCAGAAACGTGTAGTTTTTTTTTAATTAAAAAAAAAGAGGCCTTCTGCATATGCACGGCTGGGACCTGGCGCCCTGAATCAGGCGGCCCTCCTGCTGCTCGTCACTGACTAGGGGTATATATTTAAACGCGGTTCCCTTAAGAGGGACTTCTGGGTAAGTGTCAGGTATTTAATGGACCACAAGGTAAGTCCTGTGCTCACTCCTGAAGACACCCTGAAGTACTTGGGGTTCAGCGTCTCAGCTGCAAACATGAGGCTGGAGCAGCGTGGGCCCCGCGTCCCCCTGCCGCTGAGCCCGCAGTTCTGTGATGTTGAAACGACGAGCAGAGACTCTCTGGGAAAAGTCGAGAGGCCTGTGGGACTCAGCCGTGGACTGGGTTTGGCCAGGAAGCCGAAGAGCTGGTGCTTCTGCTGCATCCTCACAGCTCTGACAGCTTGCATCTGACTCTGGGTCTCGAGTTCATCTTAGGCTTTTATTCTTCACGATAAAATCGGTACGTAGAACACAAAGAGAAGCACTTCCATAATCTTACTGCCCAGGCAAAACCACTGCAAACACTGCCCTCCAATCATTCACCCAAAGAACCACTCGTGGGTTGAGAAGAGCGGCAAAGGGGAGGCCAGCGACGACGCTCCCGCCCCAGACGCTCACCAGGACGCTCACACTTGGCGCTGCTCCCAATTCCGTGTACTTTGTTGATGGAAAGTAAAGGTGTGGGTGAAATTCCTGTGAACCTCCTGCACAGGCAAAACCCACACTCATCGGGGCAGTGTTAGCTCAGTGCTACCCGAACGCCCCATGTTTATCCTCAAACTTGCTCCTGTGACACGGCGGTTACAGTTTGGCGTGGACACTAGGCGCCTTCTGTGGATAAGTGACCCCCAAGCACCTGGAGTGCTGGTGCTGTGGGCGACACAGGTGAGCTCACCTGGAGTGCAGGTGCTGTGGGCACACAGGTGAGCTCAGGATGCTCCTTACCGTGTGTATTCTTCTTGCAACTGACCCGGATCAGGTGGGAAAAATTTCACTGCCAGGCGAAGCACTGTATTCTTTGGCCCTATTTAAAAAAAATTGAAACACAGATAAGGTCAAAATCTGTATTTGCTGTCTTTCTGCATATCCTGGTGGAACTGAGCCAGCGCTCTCAAAGGCACTGTAAAGCACGTCTTCTCAAGTAAGACGACATTAAGAAACTTCCTAGGCATGAAGTTATCGGTCTTAAGTACTAGTCACAAACATCAAACAAAAATTTAAGAACTTTTGCACTAAGCAGAGGCTGATAAAAGAAACCCTAAAAACAAGCAGAAAACTACACGTTAAAATCTTAAAATACATTCTTGCTTGTATTTCAGGATTAGAGAAGCTAAGGGGTCTGCAGTGTAAGTAGCAGTAATTTTAAAAACCACTATTGGGAACCCTCACGCGCTCCGCCGAGAGGGCGAGGCTGCTGCCACCCGCTGCGCTGAGCCAGGGCCACCCGATCCCTGCAAAGGAGGGCACAAGGTATCAGCTCCTCTGAGCACTCTGCTCGACTGACGTCTTCTAATGACACAGCCAGGCACCTTCGCCAAAAGAAAAGAGGGCTGTTTGGCTAAAGTGGCCTTAGTTACTTATCAGCGAATAAAGCTCCTTCCACACATCCTCCCTCCTCAGTTTAATACTAACAAAGTCACAGGCGAGGTCAGACAACTAGAGCCTTCATCCCATGTGTCTTTCCATAACTTAGGACCTGCACACTCATTTTTGCATAAACAAGGCGAGAAGCAACATCAAGCGTGTCCTCTTATTTCCAAATGAGAGGCGAGTAACCTAGGACTGAGCTGAGGTGCTGCCCCGCCCCCTCCACTTCTCGCAGTTTAACCTGAACAGGGACTTCACTGCTCCCCAGAGAGGTGACAACGACCATCTTAACAAAGCATCTTGACTGAACAGAACTTCAAAGAGTTAAAAGAGGACTTACTTCGTATCTGCCTAACGATGGGTTTCATGGGTTCCAGCCAAATCTAAAGAGGATTTAAGAAAAGATATCAAACCCATTAAATTATTTCTCTATTTAATAAGTACAATATACAACACAAAAAGATTTACAATTGAGAGACTCAGGGCAGGAACATTTGCGCCTTCACTCCAGTGCACACGACGTGTCCAGATGAGACACGGGAGGGCAATGCGTGCTTGTGGGGGGATGTGGATGCGCTGCAAACTGCCGCGCAGTGTTGCAGGGCCAGCCATGCGCACAGCGGTACTGAGGACTGTGTGTGTGTGTGGGGGGTGTATGTTAGGACCAAGCCAACATCGGGCACCCTTGGTGCACGCTGCTGGCACACAGAGCAGGCTGACGCGCGGGCCCCGCGGGAGAGGCTGGACCGAGCTCTGTGGTGCCGACACGCTTTCTGAACCAAAGAGCTGATCTGGCTTCTTTAAAACAGTTCCACCCACAAACCTCACGGCTCCCCACTTTTCAGGTTCATCTATCAAGTCGAACGAGGCAGAACCAGTTTAGTAAAACTGTCTGCTCAAAATGCACTGACGTGATCATCACACGGGGTGCACCAGAGGTTGCTTTTATAACTTACGGAGAAAGGACTTCCTTGGCACGTGGACTGGCAGACTGAAAACCTCCAGGGAGGATGCAGACTCAGGCTTAGAGAAGAGGCAAGTGTACGTGAAGCGCCTCCGTGGCACAGCTCTGATTATGAGACACCTGTGGCACGGCTGCAGCAGGGCCTCGGAGGTCTCTGTGCCGTGGGAGTGCTGGGACCCACTGCAACCGACGCCCGCTCCCAGGAACAACCCCACAGCACCTACCCAGTGGGCCTGCGCGCTCTGAAACTCCAGCCCGAAGTAGTCACACTCGATCAGGCTCAGGCGTCTCCACACGTGCGTCAGCAGCGCCTGCCCGCCGCACCTGGGCTGTGGAGAGACCGGGGAGAGAAAGCACAGTGGGGGGGATGGCGCTGAACAGCGAAGGCCTAGGCCGCGGCGGCACAGAGCCACTTCCAGCGTGTGAACTTGAGTACATCTAACTTCTTGCTTCCATTTCCCAGCTAGTAAGACTCACAAATGGTCACGAAGCGAATAAAGGAAACAGGCTCTTCCTGCTCAGAGGCTGATGCTGAAACAAAGCTGGAAGCTCCTCCGTTTTGCCCTCTCAGTGTGTCCTTAGTCACACCTCTTTGTAACCAACTTCGGTCTCAGTAAACATTTTTTCCAACAATCCTGATATTCACTAAAAAGGCGAGTCTCACAGCCCACGTGTGCATAAGATTCCAGGGAGTGATTCAGCACGTGGTGGTTTTCACACGCGTGAGGAGAGCTCAGACTGCACGAGTGAGGGGCAGCCAGCTCTCCCGGCTCACACTGTTCACAAAAATAAACTCCAGTGGACTACAGCGCAGAGTAAGACAGAGGAGAGAGTTTCTATAATCCTGGGGTAAGTGAAGTCTTCCTAAAGCACAGTGCAAAGGCAAGACTGACAGATTCGGTTAAAGAAACACGAAAAATTCTGACTAGAAAGACGTTGAACAAAGTTACAATCTCCAATCAAACTGCTGAAAAGCCACCAGAATTGCACCTGGGCCCGTATGTGTCTGCAGACACACCAGTGGAACAGAGCAGGAGGTGAAGAAATGCACCCAGATACATAAAGCAGCAGCGTGTCGGGCAACAGCGACACTTCAAATCAATCTGTGTAAGGAAAACAGATTACTCAATAACCACTGTTGGGTATCCACCTGGAAAATGTAAGGTTGCACCCTTACCCCAGACAGTAACGCCAAGATGAATAAAATATCTGAACACAGAGCATCTACTCATCAACGCACTGCAGTGAGAGAAACCTGCTATTTACACGGTGGGGAGAAAGCCATCTCAGGTCACTCGGGCAGCTGAAAGCCATCACGGGAGGCTCCAGAGACTGAACGACCCCAAAACGCCTGAAAGAAACACTGTGAAGTCGAAAGACTTCTTCAGAGACAGACGGGGGAGCATTTTACAGCTCACACCACAAAGGGCTAATACCTTTAAAACACATCAAACTGCACCTGAACAGGAAAGGGGGGAAAAGAACAGGCTGCTCACAGAAGCAAGCCCTAAGGGGCAGTCAGAGGCCCGGGAGCAGCTCACTGCGTCACGGTGAGGGGTCCGCAGCCAAAGCCACACCGAGGCCCCACTCTTCGTCTCCCGCACGGGCAGAACTCAGGGAGCCCCGAGCCCGCAGGGTGGGGGGCGCAGGGCACAGGGCTTCCCGCGTGGGCTGGGGGCACAGACCCCCACTGTCTCTGTGGGGGACAGGTTGGGACCACCTACTGGCATTCAAATGTCCACACCATTCTCTCACAAATTTCACTTCTAAAAGTATGTCACAGACGCAAAACCACGCACATGGAACAGCACTCGTTACCATAATGTGTGGAACAGCAAACGCTCAAACACCCCCGCCACCGACGGCCCACGATGGGGGTGGACCGCGGCGCCTCCCGCAGCAAGACACTCAGCAGTCAGACCAGGGCTGCTCTCTACACTCTGAAGTGGAAAGAGCTCCAGGACGAACCGTGAAGAGGAAACAGCTGGGGGCGCAAACGCGCGCCTGCCGCCGCCGTGCGGGGAATAAAGTGTGTAAATATGCAGGAGAGCGCCGTCGGGAATGCACGCTCTGGAGGGGCCACCGTAACCAGGGCTGCCGGCTGGTTCCAGAGAACTGAACCACGTGACCGCACATCCTTTACGTGTTTTGAAATTCGTATCATGAACATGCAATAACCTATTTTCTAAGTTTATGTAATTAAAACAAATTCTCAAGGCTGAGCATGGGTGGGGGAGGGGACTGCACACGAGATGCAGATGTCAGAACCCAGGTGGGGTCGGGGTCCCCCCTTAGTGAAGGGGGATGGGGCGGAGTGGGTAAAGTCAGCAGAGACAGCAGCCCAGAGAAGATGCCAGAGCAGCGAGGGGGAGGGTCATGGAGGGCCACAGCCGCCTGCCCTTCCCCGAGAGGTTGGGACAAGGGAGTTCCCTGGGGTCTCTTGGCCACTGATCCCGTTCCCGAGGGCTCCTCCCTTCACAGAGTCACAGTGGGCTTAGGTTTCAATGTGTGAATTTTGGGGGACACACAGTCTGTAACACCCGGCCAAAAGCACATGACCGGAATCCAGCCACAAGGACAACAAAGTCACCCTGAGGCTCAGGTACAAGGTAACTGCTGTGATTTCAGAAACGTCAAGGTCATAAGTCGCACACTGAGGACCAGAGAGGAAAGACCTAACGAAGTCCTTTGATACAAAGGACACTAGTGGGACCAGGGTCCGTGTTAATGTCCTGGACTGTCCTGATGAGGGGAGAGTTTGTGGGAAATAAACTTGAAGTGGAAGGGTGCTGAGGCACAGTATTGGCAACTCACTCTCAGATAATTGAGGAAAAAGATTCTTTGCACTATTTTGCAACTTTTCTGTAAATTTGAGATTGCTTCAAAATAAAAAATTAAGAAAAGTAAAAAATACAGAATCTTAGCAGCTGAAAACAAAAGAACCTAAACATAAACGATTAGAATCAGTAAACGTATTTAGCGAAGTCACAGTATCCAAAGTCAACACACAAAAAGAAAATTCATTTCTATAAACTACTAAAACAACTAGAAAGTGAAATCTAAAAAATTACACTTACAGTAACAAAGAAAATAAAATACCCTGGGATAAATGGAAAGATCTGCAAGTCTGCTATGTTGAAAACCATAAAACGTTGCCCAGAAAAGCTAAAGACCTAAATGTAGGGAGGGAGGTTCTTCTCCCAGTCTATGCACCTGATGCGCCCTCCACGTAAGACGTCAGTTCTCCCAGGTGAGCTGCAGGCTGAAATCCCAGCAGCTGTGTCTGTGGAACCTGAGAGACTCAAATACGACACAAACCCCAGAGACTCCAGCGCAAAGCAGCATTAAAGAAGGACAAGGCCGAGGACTTACACTTCCCGGTGCCAAGACTTACAAAATTATAGTTAACTAAGATACTATGATATTGGTGCAAAAACAGACCGTGAACACAAGCAAGCGAGTGTGGAAACAGACCCCCCCCCCCCACAGTCATCTGATTTACAGCAAAGACTCTACTGTAATTCAGTGCCGGAAGGATGGTCTTGTCAACAAACGGGACTGACGGAAGTGAACATCCATATGAAAAAAGTAAACACTGACCCCTACCTCACACCACACACAAGTATTAATTCAACACAAATGACAGGAAGGTAAACCAACAGAGCTCGGGGTGGGCAAGTGTGCCTCAAACAGGACACAGAAAGCTCGAACCACAAAAGAACAATGCATACAGTGACGCTACCTGAAAATCACAAACATCTGTCCATCAGAAGACACTGTTAAGACTGGGAAAAGGCAAGTCACAGACCAGACAGTATCTGCAACACGAAAGTTCAACGAAGGCCATGAAGCCGACACAGTTAGAGATCCACAGCTCATCCGGGAAAGGCAGACAATCCAATCAAGGACAAATAGGCAGAAGCACCCACGTGGGCCCTTCACAGACAAGGACGGCCAAACGGCCAGCAAGCTGGGGAAAGCTGCGCAGGACGGCACCAGGGAAACACACAGTAAACCAGACCCTCCAGGAGGCCACGCACAAAAGGACGATGCCGACCGTCAGCAAGCAGGTGGGGCAAGTGCAGGTCTGTATGTAGCTGGTGGGACCGTAAATCTGCCCGGTCTCCCGGGGGGTTGACGACACCCACCGCAGCCACACGCACACGCACCCATGACCCAGCCAGTCCAGTCCAGTCCAGTCCTGGTAACCACTCAGCAGAAATCCTGCCACGGGCACCAAAAGACACGCTCCAGAATGTTCGCACAGCTTGTTTACAGTAGGCGAAACTGACAAGAAGAGCTGAAGTGTCAGACGGGATGGGTAAATAACACACGGTTTGTGTGTGCGACAGGACACAACCAACAACGAAACCGCCGCCACGCGACCACCCTGACAGCTGCCGGCGTGCACGCACACGGCCGGTCACAGTGAAGTCCGGGCCCGGCAAACCGCTCATGGCTACTTGGGGCGGTACCTGAGCGGGAGGGCACGGTGCACACGTACGTAAAACTCACCACGCTGCACGCGCAAGGGCTGCGTGCCGTGCTGTGTAAGCTGTGCCACAGGAAGGAAGTCGTCACAGGGAAGGAAGAGGTGAGACAGCCCTAGGGAGCTCATGGGGCCAACCTTCCACCTTTCACACCAGCCCCTTCTGCAGACTCTCCCAGGGTCACGAGGCACCTGGGTCCATCACTGGACAATTCTGCCCGAAAAGAATTCCTATCTTTGGCCAAAATGTCTTTCCAACTTCTACCTGCCTTAGTCAGTCTCCTCCAGGCACAATCCAGTTTGTCAAGGCCCCTTTTATAACAGTCACCAGATCAGAACACAGCCAAGAAAGTCAGTCCGGAGCTGGGCCCCACGGCAGACTCGACTCGACTCACCTGAAGCAGCACCCCCTGCAGACACAGACCCCTGGAGAGCAAGACGCTGATCCGTGTGAGCACGATGCCCAGCGCGCGCAGCCCAGCAGAGGCTACAAACAGATCGCTGTCCGAAGGGCTCAACACAGGAGAAGGGGGGATTTCTTGGACTGTCTGTTTTGGGAGAGCAGAAACCATATTTGAATTTTGCTCAATAATTAACAACTCACCACACAGGGAGGGATTTTCATCAGAATGCGTTCTCCTCCAGAACAAAACACTAGGGGTTCCTGATACTTAAATTATAAACAACTTCAGAGGCTCTCTGGCCCACAGGGTTGTTTGCGTGGCAGGCACTCAGACGTCTGTCCCAGGACAAACGAACCACCCAACAACTGGGAAGAAGCCTTCCGTTACGACCGACCGTAAGTGCTGAAGGCCAGCCCAGCGCAGCCTGTCAGGAGGC